GCTTGTTCTCCTCTTTGTATCAGCTGGATCTAGATATGGCCTCAGTCTGCTACAGTGATTCTGGAAAGATGAGATATAAACCTTGGTGTATACTTGGGGTTGTAAAACTGAGCTCAAGCTTGACTTATCTGTGTTCTGTTTAGGTCATTGAAACTATGTGACTACGAGGAGTTTTGAAGGCAGAGGGAGGAATGAAGTGGGGAGAGAGAGGAGAGCAGGAGATGGATGCTGTGTGCTCATTTCCCTGCATGAAAGCCAGGTCTTCACAAATTTGTTGCACTAGGAGGTTCAATAACTACTTGTAGTTTAACAACCAGCCCCATTGAGCCTGATCAAATGTCCCATCCAACCTAAATTATTCCACGTTTCTAAGATAAAGAAAAAAATACTGGTATTTTCCAAGGTCTTATTTCTTTTGCCCAGACACGTGGACAATTATGTTGCAGAGAAACTCTGTCACACGGAATTTGATGAGGCCACCTTAATAAAATATTTTCTTGCCCAAGGGATTATACTGATCGTGTGCAGATCTCAGTAATACAGATTTAATCTGGTTTATCCTCACCCTCTTGTTGTGGATTCAGCTTTGTTGTGTTTTGCCCCACCTTCCCACACTGGTTTTTAGCCTTTGCTTTCAGAAATAGCAAGATTTTGAATCAAAGACTGTTTTATCTGCTCTATCTGCCCCACAGCTTCTCATTCAGCCCTGTTTTAAGTCAGCATCTGACTCCCTTGGTTCTCCCAAAAAACCTTCCCAGAGAAGGAAAAGTAGAGGCTGTTCATGGCCTCTCTGCTGTCACCACCAGCTGATGCTTGTTTGGACAGGTTTTTGGTAGGTTTTCTCTTTACCTTCTGGGAGTCTCCTGGAGTTTCCTTCATTTTTTGGTGCTTTTTCCAATTCCAATTCTTGATTTACCTCAAAGGATCTTTCAGTGTCCTCCTCTGACACTTTTAATTGTCCTGGCACTGAACTAAACTATTAGGAAATTATTGAACTAATGAGAGTTAAAACATTTTGTCTTTCTCTGCCTGGCAGGGTGCTATTCAAACTTTGTATAATCATCTGCACACACTGAATGCTAAATTTCATATAAAAATATAATTTGTTAATTAAACTTTCTCTGTCATGAACATTGGGCTAATGCTCGTGGCTCATTACTCGTGTGGGGACAGTCTGGGTGGGGATCAATCACTATGGGATGCAAAAGGGTTTGTGGAGACTGACCTCCCTAATCCAGTTTTTGAGGGATATGGGAGGAGAAGGCTTTTTCTCCCCAGGGGCTACTTCAAAGCACAGTGTGAGCTAATGCAGTGCCAGACTGAGAGCCCTGTGTGTATTCACAGAAGACAAATAGGATGGTGCTGATCTCTGAAGAGGAGGGAAAAGGGACACTTCTGCAACCCAGTTAGGGTTCCACTGTGGCTTTTTCCATGAAGAAATGTCTCTTATGAAATCACAGATTGCTACCAGCCAGCTCCAGCCATGGGAATCAGAGAATCAAGGAATCATTTAGTTTGGAAAAGACCTAGAAAAGTTCACTGAGTCCAATCTTTAGATCATCAAGACTAACCTTTAATTTTTTTCCTGGAGTAATTTTCAAGACAAGAGACTGGTGGAAAATGCAAGACCATTTTCTTGCACAATCCCAGCTGGACCACCAGGGATTAGGGCTGGAAATCACAAACCCACTCCTCTTCCCAGAGGAGCTTTCACCAGAGTCCATCAGTGAAGCCCCTCATGCCACTCACGGCCAAACCGTCGCTTTGTCTTACACAAAATACACAAAAGGGTAAAAAAATTGAAGCCTGTTAAACCTTTATATTTGACTTGTAACCTCAGGTGTTATTTCCCCAGGGGTGCAGCCCTGGGAGGTCTGGGCTCATCTCAAACACACCAGAGCCACGAGCTGACTGCTGGCTCTGCCAAGCCCTGAGTGTTGGGTTTCACCTGAAATGAGCCCTGTGGGCTCAATGCAGCTCTTGGGGGAGTAAAGCTTGTTTGTGCTGAGGATTTAATGTGTTCAGAGTGCTGAATACAGCAAAGGAAAATCAGCAGGGCTAAAGCAACCAACCTTTCCATGCTCCCTCAATACATCTCTCACCATCTTCCACTTCCTCCAAGGTTGTGACATGCCAGCCTGGGTGGACACAAACTTCGTGGCTCATCCAAAATGCCAAGGTTTTGTGACCTTGGCTGCCTTTCAGAGACCAAATTTGAGGTCCTCAGCACGCTGTGCCCCTTCCTCCCCTTCATGCACAGCTGAGTTGTGTTGACATCCATCTCCTCACCTCAGCACCTCCTCCACAAACTGGACAGGGGACAAGGCAGTGAGGGGGACCTGCCAGTTCTTCAAATGAGTTTCCTTTGCTGAGCTCCAAAATGGAGGTGGCTTTTCTTTTTACATTAATTTTCTTGTATTAGTAGAAAGGAAAAGAACAATTGTGGTGCTGTGTGTGTGTGAGCAGCCTTAATGCTGGATTTAAAAGCAAGTCAGAAAAGCAGGACTTTATGTATGGGGATATAAAGTGAGGAGGAGGAGGACTGTGTCAGCAGGCCATGCTTAGGCTTTAACTTGTAAAATGGGTGTTTCATTACTGTGCTGTTCAGAAAGACCTGGTCTAACTCAAACTGGGTGTTAAGAGTTGGCATCTTTTATTAGACCAAGTGTTAGAGTTGTAAAAATAGATAAGTTTTCTTTAGATGTACAGGAACTGTCTTGTAGGCCTAAAGCTTCTTTCAGCTCTACCACTTGTTTTGATAAAAAAGGTTACCTTTGCCTAAAGGTGTCTTCCACATGTTCTCAGATCAGCACAACCCCAGCAATTTACTATTTGTTACCCTGGGAAAGGGGGGAGATTGTCCAGGGTATTTTTGAATAAAACCCTCCTTTTTCTGCAGGTGGTTGGACTGTTGTGATTCCAGGTTAGGACTGTTGTGATTCCAGGTTAGGTCCTGGGACTTCAGGGGATCCCGTTGGGAAACTCGCAGGCTGCTCTGCAAATACATCCCTTCATTTGAAAATGTAACTTAAAGGATGGAAAATCTGAGGCAGGTTTTAGATTGTGGGGCTGTCCACTGAAGTATTGTATCCCTCTCTTCTCTGGGCCTGGGGGGTTGAAGCTGAGAGGAGGAGGAGGACAATAAATTACTGGGGAGCACAGATTACCAAAGGGAGAAAAGAAGATTGTGTCATGCTAAAAGTCAGAGGGAAAAATAGCAACTGATCTTTGTTCTGTTGAGCAGAGACAGCCAAGGTGTGTTTACAGGGAGTGGTGACAACTGTAATGATGGGTTGCAGTGAACTCCCAGGCATGAGTCCTTCAGTCCAATGGCACTGGGATGTTAAACGGTCTAAGAAATAATAATAACTGTAGGATGGCATCATGTCTGTCTCATGCAGCACCCTCTCCTCTCCTCTCCTCTCCTCTCCTCTCCTCTCCTCTCCTCTCCTCTCCTCTCCTCTCCTCTCCTCTCCTCTCCTCTCCTCTCCTCTCCTCTCCTCTCCTCTCCTCTCCTCTCCTCTCCTCTCCTCTCCTCTCCTCTCCTCTCCTCTCCTCTCCTCTCCTCTCCTCTCCTCTCCTCTCCTCTCCTCTCCTCTCCTCTCCTCTCCTCTCCTCTCCTCTCCTCTCCTCTC